AAGAAGGCATTCGGAGAGAATGGACATGACCAATTAGTGTCCCTGGACAGGTCCTTACTCTGGTCTCTGGATCCTGAGGACAGCAAAGAGAGGGGCAGAAAATTGGGACCCCCCTAGGTACACAGGTTTGACTTGTTATCTCGTTCCCTCTCCACATCCTTCTGTTAAGATAATCAGCCTAATTGTAGCTGAAATTCGTTCAGAGCTAAACAGACTGTAATTGAGAAGGGACAGGGAAGGTGTGCTTCAGGGACTGGGATTGCACAGAGGCTTTCCTCATCCTGACAGTGACAGCTTCCAAATAGGAGAAGACATGGCCGTGGTCTATATTAGCCCTGGACTCTGCAGTACAGAGGTGCAAGTAAGGTCTGGAGGCCTCACCTGGCCTGAAGGCCTGGTCAGGACTTACAACACCATGGCCACCACAGTGAGTAGGCCTCACGGTGCCACTGTCCACTCCATAGGCCATGTCAACTCTTCCTCAGAAGCACATTTCTCACTTCCCTCTGACTAAGTGAATCAGCTCAGCAGAGGGGGTGATCCCAAGACCTTTACTTCTGACCTACAGGTAGGACTCTGGGCCCAGAGGATGGTGGGAACCTTTGTAGTCACTGTGCCCCAGAAATGCCTGTGTGTCCTCATGCCTCAGCTCCCATCTAGACCTTCATAGAGCTCAGGAGTAGTCTGTGCATACGGCTGTCACTTTGCTTCTACAGTCAGAAAGATGCAGCAGCCTTTGGGCTTCATTTCCCCCTGCATCAGACCTCTCAGCATCACTAGCCTTTAGAAGGTTCCTTGCCTCCCTTTGGTGTGTTTCTATATTTTCTCTGTGGCTGATGTGGTCTTTGCCATTCTGTTGTCAGCTCCCTATGGCATGGGTGTTCCAGCTGAGGTTGTCTCAGGGTGTCCATCCTTAAAGCAACTCCTGATCCATGTGCAGTAGTGAAGCATCCTTGGGCATCAGTGTCATTTAGTGCAAGCCAGTTCATGGGACCTTTAGCACCAATTATGCTTAAAGTTACAGTTGCTCTTTAGAGAATTCCTGCCTCTTTTCCTGACAAGGTATGAATTAGGACAATCTGAGCTAACCCCGGGGACTGTACCTCAGTCTCTGTCTACAAGAGCACTGATGTGTGGGGAGATATCTGGGGCTGAGATGGGGCAGGTACCGCCTGAGCGAGGGGGGTCAACCTAGGGGAGCACACAGCACTCTGAGTGCAAAGCGTGGCTTTTTACACTTTCTTCTTCTGAGTCCAAAAATGCTTGGGGAGTGTGCACCCCCTCCTCTGATGCTGTCATTTCATTCAGTCAGAAAGAAGGGGAAGAGGCTCATTCAGTGTCCCAGAGGCTGTCCTAATCCAATATCAAGCTCTGGAATTTGTGGAAGGTGAAGACAGGGCCAGAAAGATGAAAATCCTGATAGAAATAAGGAAAATTACAAAAAAACTAATGGATAATGTGTCAGGGATTAAGAAGGAGTGAGGACAGGATTTCTAACAGACCCCGGCCCACGATTAAGTGGCTAAGCAGTTCCCATGTCTGGGTCTATGGGCAGCTGGAGCTCTTGCTGTCAAGGCCTGCTGGACACTGCACTCAGTGCTGGACAGTAGGTCATGTGAGGCAGCTCAGAGCCCTTTTATTGAGGACCTTCTTCCTGACATTCAGGAGAAAGGGGGCCTGAAAGGTGGTGGCTGACTCCCCCAAGGCCACAAGGGCACCTAGTGTCAGACAGGCCAGGATGGTGCGGTACATGCTACCCGAGTCCTTCATGAGAAGCATAAACTCAGGGCACCTGAAATGACAGGGGAGGTGATTCCTGAGGAGGGTCACTCAAGGTCACATCACTCAAGCATGTGCCACTCGTTGGATCAGATACAACTTTCTGGGTTCTTCAGTTTGGGGCAAGTGTCAGTATTTGATGGAAATTTCTAGGTGGGAATGAGATGGGAGTAGATTCTGTGAAAGAGTGAAATCTTGTCCAGGACAGGCAGCATGAAACCGAGTGTGAACTGGGACAGAGCCTTCTGTTAGCTGGTTGGGAGACAGACCAGGAGAGGATGTAGTCCTTGCCCCCCAGGTTCGGCAGCAGCTAGAGAGAGCTATGGACACCCTCGTGTGAGTGATGACTCTGTCCTCCCCGGGGAAGTCTACGCACATGCTGCCACTCACAACGCTTCCTGCAAATGCCCAGTTCATGCCCTGTCCTGCCTCGTGATGACCCCTAATCCCAGGTTAACTGTCTTATTGCATTCAGCGCACCCTGAACTGCCTACACCTGCCCACAGAGCCCCTCCTGGACCCCGGAAGCCCACTTCTAGAAAGCCTGTGCCCAGCACCATTGCTGATCTGGGACCATGCTCTGTCTGGCTGCCCCAGATCTGTGGAGCTGAGTTTATTCCTAACACAGGCCAGTGCCAGTGGGCAATGGCTCATTAGGCTTCAACAGCAGAGTCCTACCAAGACCCGCTATTCAGTGCACCATGAGTGTGATGACAAGGAGACATGGGATCAATTTCAGGTATGACAGAGGCCTCTGGATATGCGAAGGTGAACATCCCAGGGAGTAAAAATTGGAAGCAGGAAAGACCGGGAACTTTTACACTCATGAGATCGAGAGAGCTGGGACATGCTGAACAGAAGAAAGGCACCACCAACATGAAATATGGACAGATTTGAGAGACATTAGACAGGCTGGAACATCAGTATATTAAAAAGTCTGAATCTGGGGATGAGACCAGGAGTCAGGTTGAGGGTAGTTTTGCGAATTGACTAATACCATAGAGCAAAACAAAACACAGGGATAAATTTTGGTGGGGAAATTTTAAGGTCAACATAATACATGTTGAGATTTAAACCATATGGGTTGAGGCTATCAGGTGGTTGTGGTTGTTAAGGAGCTGGTCTCCCACATGGTCAACCAAAGTTCAAATCCTGGACTTGGTGTCTTGTTT